GGCTTGAAAAACCAATCGAAAGCTCAGAATGTCCGCCTAGTGGCTTTCTCAGCCATTTTAAATTATTATAATATCTCCTTCTTTTGATACAAATCTTTATGCTCAAAACTTAATATTTTTTTAGGCTGAAATACAGCTTAGTTACTAAGCTTGATGATACAGTAATTCAATTTGGTTTTATATGTGTGTGTGTGTATATAAAACCTAAAAGAAATTATTTCATTTCGTATCCTCCATGTGCAAAATTTTAAAAGTCTTAGCAACCTACATCAAGCAGCAACCGAGGTCATAACTAGAAGAGATAATTGTCTACATTCTACGTTTCTATCAAATCAGAAGGTTGCTTTTTTATGTAGTGTAATTGTCTTATATAGTAGCATCATTTTTAAGATAGCTTTAGTGAGTCTGAGATTGATGTGTGATATTAATGTTAACTATGTTGTTTCTGGAGAATGTGTGCTCAGAGTGAATTGATTTTTCTTTCTTTTCTTCATAGTTGTATTCTTTGGAAAGGACACTCTCATATTTGAGTGAAGTTCAGAACTTGGCTTTGATTAAGATAATATGTTAACTTTATTTTTTTATGAATAAAATAAATATGCACCAGATTGTCATTCAGTAAAGTTTTAATGTTGACAAATTTTATGACGTTATGATACTGTTAGCTGTAGTATAAATAACCTGTCCTCAATTTGTTCCTTTTTTCAATCTTCTAGGGTGACCATGGGTTAGTTGCATCATTAATAGAAGACACATTCAGTCGTTACTATGTTCCAGATGCCACAGGCACATCTGTCACTACCACCTTACCCTTGCAAGTTGTCAGCTAACATTTGAACATAAACTAAATTGTTTGTTGCATTAGTTACTAGGAAAGCTTTGGTGAGGATCAATATATATACATTTTTTTTTTTTTTTTCACAATTCAAGCAAAATGCCTTTCATGATTGGTGCTTAACATCATGGCCTCACAGGTGACACTGTACAGGTTAGGACATTGATAGCCAGTTGTTCTTATGCAACAAATTGAATGAGAAATTTGTTTTTATATGGAATTGTGAAGAGAAATATACAGTGACATGGCTAATATTATAGGCTTATGTTAATAAGTTTGTAGTGCTAATGTTTTAATGTAAAGAAATTCAGATACTATTTGTCTGGCTGTTGTTATACAGTGTCAAGATAAATATAATGTTGCAGAAGTAGGATTGCTCTAGGATACGTTACAAATAAGCAAATATTGCATGTGGTGGCACCACTGCTTTTTACTTATTAAACTCCTCTTTGTATGCTATCTGGCTTTGATTAAATAGTTGGTTTTCTTTGAAATAATACTTTAAAAAAAATTATTTATTGTGTTACACGTTTTGTTAATGACACATTTTTTTAGAGACCAATTTTTAGCTTTGATAAAGCAAAATCTGATATATACCATCTTTGACTTGTACGTTTAAAATTCAAGCAGTTAGAAGAAAATAACAAGGACACAGCCAAGTTGAAAAATTAATTTAAATCTACTTATGTATCTGTAGTTCTATTAATGTGTGTGTATATATAAAATAACTTCGACAAGAATGAGTTTCAGATAATTGTTTAGTTTAATGTACAATGTTTTGTTGTAAATAGGTAGGTTTAGTGTGATGAACCTGTGAAAGGGATGATAAGAATGAAGTTATTCTTAGCATTTTCTTAGAATCGAATATTTGAAGATACAACTGTGTTCCTTGTAAACTCCAATATGATTAGCTTTAAAATCAAATATTATGTAAAATAATATTCTTTGTAGTTGAGAAGGAAGAAGCAGGCACCACAAAATTATAGTTTCTTACATCTGTATTATTCACTAAGTTACAACCTAAATATGTTAAAAATAGAAAAACTTTGTTTTGGTTGAATATAAGGATACTCCTAGGTTTTGGGATATACTGGCTCTTGCTTTACACAATCATTAAATCATTGTAAAAAAGAAATTATAAAGTGGAAATACTTTCCATAAAATAGTGATACTTGTATTATAGTATTCAGTGTGTATTGTACTTTGTAAGAAATTACTTGGAAAGCTAATGTGATTTCTTCAGTTTGTCACAAAATTCTAGTACATACAATATGAAATTTCATATTCTATAGTGTCATATGAATTTAAAAGCCATGTGTAACATAGTTTCCCCAAAAAGCATCATCTTGAAATTATTTCCACTGAATTATATTTAAAAAATTTTTATGCCAGAAGTATTGTTTAAGCATTTCTTGAATTTCAAATTAATGTATGATGTAAACACCGACAAATCTGGCAAAAAAAAAAGAAAAAATTAACAATTCAAATTTTGCTGTATTTAATATGTCTATAATTATTTAAATTTTGTACTTTGTTTAATATAAGTAACTGGTATATTGCATAGTTTCAGTAACAGAATATTACGTAGATTTTGTTTTAAAGATAGTTTAGGCCATGTAACAGTTATATCTGAAGTTCCCCGCTCACTCACCTAGTGGTGTAGCACCAATGGAAACTTTTGCAAGTAACTAGAACTATTATTTGTAAAATAAGGAAGAACTGTGAAAAACATGAGTAGAGTGCATTTTGTTTTCGTAAAAAATATGGCAAGTCTTTTTCAGAAACAAAAAAAAAGTTTAAACAAATTGTGATCTATTTTCATATGTGAATCATGCCAAAGAAAATAGTATTAATAAATTACTCGTGTTAATTAGAATTTTTTTTCCTTATTAATAATAGTAATACAATAGTATAACATTTTGATTGACTAATTAGTATCACATACTCAGTACTTTTGTTTTGTTTTGCTTTTCAAAGCGTAGATTACTGTTTACTTGTTGGTTATGAAGTGATCATTGTGTGTGTGTGTATGTTTATTTACAAGCAGAAGTTTTGTTTTACTAATAAATTAACAGGAATAAAATTTGAGATTCACAAAAGAAAGGGCACATTCCTATCAATTGAATCTGGAATATCTCATATTCATTATATCATGTTAAAAGTTTTGAGTTGCATGGCAAAAATAATATTTGCTTAAAATTAAGTGTGACTTAAAATCAGTGTACAAATTAGAGAAAAATAAATGTTTTTCATATATTTTTTGAAGGGTATAGAGAAGTGATATTTTGCATGTTTTTTGTTAAACTAGGAAAATTAAGTTTGAAATGCTTGTGAAGCATAGTTTTTGTTGATTCATTACACTGTTTTTATTATTTGAAAACTTCATTTGTAATACTTTACATTCTTCTTGACATGTCAAAACAACCTATTGAAAATTAGTATCTTTTTATGAAATTGGAAGTAATATGCAGTTGAACCTCTTTTCTTTTTTTTATCTGTTTTCACATTTGGATACTTTTTCTTTTTGTCTCAAAGTTGTATTTGCAATTGCAACATTTTAACAAGAATACCATTAATTGAAAATTACTTCTAAACACAAGCAAACTGAACATCCTGATTATAATAAACTAAAATTAAATATAGAGGAATAAAAGTGATTTTAAGTTTGGATTTTAACAATGTATAGTTTTAAGCTGGTTAATACACATTGAAAGACTAAGCAATAGAGTTAAAAGAAAATACAGAGCAGTGAAAAAGTCTTAAGAATGTCTGATGATTAGATCATATTGAATGTTAAGAATAAGAAAAAAGGATCTTCTATAATACATTGTTATTCTGTCATTGTGTTTAATTAGCTTTTCTACAAAATGTTTGTAATTGTAGATCCCATACATTATATTAATTTACATTTTTTTTATTTTCCCGTAGTCCTTCTCTCTCTTTGTTTGTATTTATTTCTTGTCATATTAGTAAACGAACTGCTTCATCTAAGTTGGAAAATTATAAACCAGTATAAGTTAACTTAAGTGGGTGACATGTAATACAATTTATGTTCTCCAGCTTCACTTAAATGGGTGAAATGTAATACAATTTATGTCCTTCAGTTACATATGTTGTTATGGTTTTAGTGTTGAAAGCTGGTGAACTATTAGAAACCAATAGGTCTGAAATTTGTTATATTAAAAAAAATCAAGTTAACTGCAGATGTTCTTTTTCACATTCCTTTTAATTTGTCCATTGTGGCTCAAAATCTAAAATGCTAATTTTACATACCTCTGATCTTGAGCTAAATATATTGTTCCTTCTTAAAATGTTTCTTTTGATAGGTTTTAAAAGTTATTTGGCTGTTTTGGAATACAAATATTTATTGAGTTTATTATGCATTCCAACATTTTCAAGTCAGTTAAGTAGGAGTAAACTGTTTGTAGTACATGAATGATGTCAACATTAAGTCTAGCATGCAAATCTGAGGACTTTTAAAATGAATAACTGCATTTTATAAACCTTTAAACAGATTTTAAAAAAAAGGCAAAAGAGTGCGACACAAAAATCAAAGTTGTGCTTAAAAATTGAGAGAGTTGTCTGATGAACAAAATCAAGACTGAAACAAGACATGACTAGACTTAGAAAATTTGAGAATCTGTAATTTTGAGATCTTTGTTTTTATTGGTTTTGTCAGTTTGGTTCATCATTCTGTTATTAGTTGGTTCTTTTCTTCAGATTTTGGTGCATTTCATTGTGAAGTCAGCTGTTATAGTTTGTCCTAAAAGATGATTTGCTTAATATTACAGTGGTATTGTCATTATCGTCTGGCAAAATGGTGGGAAAATAAACATAATTTCTCATTTATTTCAGGATTTTTTTGTTATCAGAAGTTTAAGTTTTTTTTGTTTTTTTTTAATTTTGTTAACAGTTTAGAGATGGAAATGCTTCTTATTGTAGCAGCATCAAAACTAACAGTAGAACTATATCTTGATTGACAGCAAAATGTAGATGCAAACTGTTTTTGTAAGTTTAAGTCTTACGTTGAGATAGTTTATTGTATTTGATTCTTGATTAAGATCTTTGATGTACAATGAGCATGTTGAAGTGCAACCATGTTCTATTGCTATATGGTAATACTGGTTGCTGACTCCTTCAGTTGGACATTCAGCAAATAATTTGTGCAACTGTTAGTAAAAATTAGTTATCAAATGTGTCTCTTGCATAATCCACTGTGTTGTTTTGAAACTTTAAATATTTGATGATGAGTTTTGAATCTAAGAACAGATGGTTGTGTCGTTACGTGTGTAATCTGTGAACTGTTTTAATAAACCATCAAGTTTTACATCTCAAAATGTCTATGTGCAAACCTCGAGCATTTAGATGAAGTCTTGCTACATAAGTCTCAACATCTAAATTCACTTCCCCAGTTTGTGAAGAAAATCCACTTGTTGATCTAATAATTGAATAATTACAGCAAAATTAATTCTACTTAAAAAGAATAAAAAAACTAATTATCCTGATACTCTATGCACTTCGTTAAAAAAAATTAAATGTGTTTGAGTTCACATGTAACTGTGGAACAGTAGAAGGCAAGGTGGCCATGGATACAGTGCAATGCACCCACCCACTTCCTCTAATATTCCAAAAAAATTGGGAACTTATTTTTTCTGTAATCTGGTAAAAAAAAATCCTTTATTTTCTTCTCTTTTTAAAAATCGGTGCTGCAAAAAATTTAACGTAAGTTTAAAATTTCAGACACACAACAAGGATCCACATACTAACAATAGGAAATGCAGTCTTTCTTCATTTTTTTTCATTGTGAGAAATTTATTGCATCATGTTAGTATGAATTAAGTACCATATCGTATATTGTATTGTGTTTTGATATTTTGACTAATTTTAAAATTTTGTTGTACCTAGGAAGTAAATTGGTTATTGATTACTTCATGAAGTACTGGTGATTGTGTAATTTTCATGTTGGCAATTTAAAACATACTAAAGTTAATTGATGTTTTGGAACATGAGCATATAGACACACTGGGCATTTGGAATACACAATTACAACTCAATTTATTTTAACCTTCTGTAATCTTCATTGTTTTCTCTGCTGGCTCTCATTTGTAATTGTTTGATTTAATAATGTAGATATTATTTTGATGTTCCATTAATTGAATTGATCTAAGGTATAACGTTAAACATAACATTTGATATGAACAGATTATAGGATTACATGTGGAAGTTATCTAATATTAATTAAGTATAATTCTGTTATTTCATTCTAAATATTTGACTGTTTTTGTATGTTGTTTATAAATATGCTATTTTATGGTATACTGCAAAACAATTTCTATAATATGACATTATGTACAGTTTTCACAAAAAATCTTTACTTCTATGCATAGAAAGGGGTTTTCTTTTTTCTTCTTAAATTCCTCCGTTTGCAACTGAACATTCCTATATTTTTGGTATCAAAAGTGGACTGTGAGGACTGACAGTGCAATTCAGTATAAAACATTTCTTGTCTGTGAAGTTGCAGTATGTGACCAAGCAATGAGTGTTCAACTATAAATTACTTTCCAGGTTTTGGAATAATGAGCAGAGAATGCTGTTTGTGGCAATGACCTGGTTCTAGAAGCAAATCAAATGTATCCAAATTGACTCACTGACACTATCTCTAGTGTCATTTATTTCTATGTTACTCTTTAGACTTGTAGTGTACCCTCCAGATGATACTTGGAGGCTGTAGTATTATTTTAGATTATTGCAAATGTATTTCTAAACTAACTTACCAAAAGTCAGGAGAACATATAGGCTAAACTTTCTGTGTGTGTGTGTGTGTGTGTGTGTAGTAAACCACCCACTCACTATTAATTAAATTTACATTAAAGTTGCCTAGTAATTAATTGTAGACAACCTAAAATTTTATGTAAGGGAGGGAGGAGATTTTGCTCTGGCCTAATTATGCCTTAGTACTTAAGTAATTCTAAAATATTAATTAATCATGGTTTTTATATTTTGACAAGGCCCTCTCAGGTCAGAGAGGCCCAGGCCATTTCCATCTTTTGAGGCCCCTGGTTATAATAATAATAAAAAAAAATTATGACACAGGAAAACAAAATAAAACAGTCATTAGCAAAAAAAAAAGTGAAATGTAGTTTAAATATTCAATTTGTATATAATTTGCATCTGTAAAGTGAGAGTGTGTCACATTTTGGTCTGATTGGGAGGCATATAAAAACAAGTTGTGAAACTTAACAAATGCAAAAAAAAAAAAAAATGGGTAAATTTGAGACTACCTTTGACCTGAAGCCCTAGTCAAATGGTTCTCCTGCCCCCCTTCTCTAATTGGCTCTAATTTTGATACATATGAATCAAAATAATTGCATAAATATCGCTTTAAGAGGGAAAAGATAAACCACATTAGCTGTAAAATTCTTAAAATAAATTGCGTATTTTTATTTTTTTCGTAAAGCATTAACAATAAAACGTGTTTACTACACTTGTACTGATGTATTATGTAATTTGAGTTTTAGAACTATTCGACGGTTTTTTATGTATGGTAAGAAACGAATTTTACCTACACATGGATGATCAGGTGACTCGACAAATTTCTGTCATATAAATATACCTAAATCAGTTAGAAACAAATAAAATAGTTATGAAACAAATGTTGCCTGATTTTTTGTTTTTAATATAATAAGGTTGAATAGTTAGTTTAAAGTACAGCGAATATAGAGCTTGAAGGTAAAGGAAATTTACAAAAAACAAGAGAAGCAGGCTTAAGTTTTTATTGTACAATGACTAGGAAAATATTCATTCATATTGAACTGGCCTGGTGGTTAAAGTACCCGACTTTCGATCTTCGGGTCGCGGGATCGAATCCCGTCACCAAACACGTTTGCCCTTTCAGTTGTGGCGACTTTATATTCTGACGGTCAATCCCACTATTCGTTGATAAAAGGTAACTCAAAAGCTGTTGACTTGCTGCCTTCCCTCTAGTCTACCACTCTTAAACAAGGAACTGCTGGCATAGACAGTCCAGACCTTGAGTAGCTTTGCGCAGTATTCAACTAACAAAATATTGAACTTGAGGGGTAAATCATTTCGTGTGGATTAGTCTCTAAAAACAATGGAGAAGAAGCGTAAAAACACATTATTGTAATGGTTTTTACGCTCTAAAAAGTAAATTAACATTCATTATTCTTAGAAAACACACAATAGGAAAGAAAAAAGTGTTATCACGATTACAGAAACCCAATATTCCGAGCGTTTCCGGAAGGTAGGACTTTCATCGTCAAGGGTGCATTTCGTGTGAACGGTAACTGAAATTATTAAATAGGACTTCAAAATCGTTTCTATAGTTTATCAATTCTGTGTTTTCCAAATAACTTGCTTCCTCTATGTCTTTTGCTTGATATTGTTTTTAAGTGCTACTTTTAAAATTACTTGTTTTTTTAGCGTAACTCTACACAATGGACTAGCTGCGCTGTGTCCTCCATGGGTTACGAACTCAAATATTTTGTGTTATAAGCCCTCGAGCTTTTCGCTGAGCTACTGGAGAGAGTTTGAAATTCTTCATATAACACATTTCTATAAACAAAGCTGAAAATCAACATAAATTGGAAAACTTTATATTTGCATCAGTATAATTATGGGATTTCTTCTTTTTTAAATATTTTCATATCCTTAATATACACCTGGAAAAAAGTTAAGCACCCCCAAATATTTTTCAGGATTGCTTATTGAAAATAAGGTTTAATT